GTATTCCAGTTAAAATAATGGTGAATGCAGATGAGATTTTACTTCAGAGAGAGAGGGTCATTTTTCCCAGGAGAAGAGAATATCTGTGTAAATAGTAGATAAGATTGGATGCTTGGACATTCGGTCGTTGTGCCAGCTAGGCAGGAAGAATTTCAGGAACATTACAGAGGGATAGGAGCGTGGTGGAAGAGTCCTGTGAGCACAGGAGAGCCTGTCTTGAAAGAATGAGCAGTTTCTTACCTAAACTGTGGACGCAAAAAGTTAGTGAGGCTTTTGCAGGAATTTTTATTTGAATTAGGACTAAAAGCAGGGATGGGGAGTTATCAGGTTCTAGAAAGCCCTAATATGTATTTGAATCTCACTCGAGCTTTTGTAATTAATTTTAAAAAGGAGAAAAACAGTAATCATGTGGCAAAAGGAAAGGAGAGAGCAGAAATTAAAGAATCAAAGGAGTTTAAAAATACTCAGGCAAAAAAAAATGCTATATATTCAAATATGCATAAGTTCAAGCAGTTTAAAAGCAAGTCGGCAAATTCTGAGAAAATAACATGAAAATATTATTATGTAAATTGTTAGTAAACCTTCACCTTGAATACTATAGAAATGCCATTTCAAAAAGCTTTGTATTTGTAATAGAAAGGGATCCAGAGAATAAAAATTACAGGGAAATTGAAAGATTACCAAATTGAGAGTGTGAGGAAAAATACATCTGCTTAGTTTACAAAAGGGAAAAGTAATAAGGGATTTGATTCTTGACCACGTCACCTCCTTTTTTTTTTTTTAGTCTTTCTACTTTTTTCCTCTTTTCCATTGCATCAAACAAGGTCAGCAGCCTGCCACCCATAAGGCCACTGGATCTGGCCTACAGAGGTGGTGTGGGGGCTTGGTGATCCAGACACATGCCGGGCTGCAGCTAGGCAGCAAAGAAAAGCGGCAGCATCCAGGTCTTAGTGTTGGCCCATCATTTGACCTGAGCTAGGTCATTCTGGCCAATTGCCAGAAAACATTTCTGATTCTTGAAAATATGTGCTAATCAAATACAAGATTCCTCATCCTTTTTTTATATTATATCATCTGAATATGTGGTTGAGCCATCTATCCCTTTCTCTGCTCTGCCTTTGAAACCTACCAATATATAAAAATTGCTATTATGCTGCATGGGATAACAATTTATTTTAGTATGGATACGATTTAGTTTAGCTCCTAACCTGATAAAGAAGAAAATTCCAGTATTCCAGATTAAACTCAATAAAGTACTAGTTTGAACTGTATGGAATTTTTCTGTCCACTAGAATTGTGTGAAGAAACCAGGAAATAGGATACATTTGTGCCCTTTTACTTTTGTCTGAAGGTGGAATAATGTTACATGTTAGAAGAAAAGGAACAGTAATGTTCCTCATTTTTCTGCAAACATTCACGTTCCTTTCACCCGCTAGCAAAATAACCCTCTTATTGTTGAGGGATCCTGGTTTTCTCTGTTTAAAAATCATAATTTCTTGATTTTAAAATCCCCCAAATCCATGATTAGAATGAAACTCCACTGAATACAGGTATCAACTGAACACAATGTTTTATTGGTATATTTACAATTTTAAAGCAGTTTGGAAGCCTACCAGTGCCTCAGTCACTGTAATAAAATAAATTCTAAGTACCTATACATTTTGATATTTGATTTTGGATTTTTATATCATGGAAAATCAGAGCTCTCCCTACCCCATCGCTTACCAGGACACAGGTTCAGACCCCTCACTCCCAAGCTGCAGCCCCCAGTCCTCCTGGTGCCCCTTGTTGGCACTGGATTTATGATCCAGATACCTTGTTCCAGGTGGACCCAAAATCCTCGGACTAACCACGACCTCTCTGATTGATAATAGGCAAATTTATTGATACACAGTGATAGCAGATAAGAATAATGCAAACAGTTCTATATCTACTAGACCTAGAGCTGTCACAGAGGAAAGGTACATGTGTCCAGTACATAAGCTTCATCCTGAGGTTCTTTCTTGAATGTCAGATGTCAGCATCCTGGAGGTCGAAATCTGAGGCCCATCCCCCACAGCGAGGTGGGTGAGAGAGGCTGGTAGGGTGCCCTCTGTCCATGGTGGCCTCAGGTTCCCCTCTCAGAGATCCCTGCTGCTCTGTAATCCCTCCTTTTGTATTCTTTCTCCCCCTCTGATGACTCTTTATTCCCAGGCATTGTTGATTGTTTTCTCTGTGGTTGTTATACTGTCCACATTCTGTTCTGTCAGCATATTCCTTTGTTTTTAAAACCCATCACATGCACACATCTTAATTCGGGCATTTACTGGTCTTTGTCCAAAACTGGAAATCCCCTGAGTTCTGCAGTTGGGCTCTATGACCTGGTGCTAATGCCTGCAGTGTTCCTTATCTCTGTTATGGAACAGTGTGGTACATGTCTTCAATTTCCCAGCCTGTGTGTCTGCTGGCTTCAGACACAGTGGGCCTTAAAAGGAACTTTGTCATAAATAGGCTTTTTGAAACCTATTAACCTTGCCCTTCTCCTGGACCATTGTTCTGATTCATATCTACTTTACCCAGAAGCCAGTTTGCTTTTCTAACCATCATCCCTTGCTTCCCATCCACAGTCCCTGGGCCTGCTGGTGCCCCTCACTCCCAAGCCAAAGCTACTTCTCCCTGCCCCCCCAGCCTTGCGGGTGGGGGCTACCAGCTGCCAGAGCTACAGGGCCAAGCATCTAGGTCCACAGCCCCCTGCAGCAGTGCCTGAACCCTGGCTGCCACCCATGGGAGGCAGCGGCTGCTGCAGCACAGAAGAGCATGGAGCCTTGTTCCCCCTTCCCTGTGGGTGGCATGGCTAGAGCAGAGCCCATGGTGGGGGAGGGGCAGGCTGAGCCTGAGCCTGTGGGCGCAGGCTCCATGCTGTGCTGCCATAGTTGGAGGCCTCTGAGCCCCAGTGTATGGAACTCATCACGGCAGAGCAGGGCCAGGTGGGAAAACTCATTGCCACCTCTGGGAGCTCTACGCTTCCATGGCAGTGCACCCCTTGTCTACCTGCTGCTGCCTGGTGGGCAGGGAATTATTTGTCATGGGGCTTGCAGTAGCAAGGAGCTTCCCCACCCTGCTTTGCCCTGCTGCATCAGGTCCCACCCCCTGGGCTATGGAGGCCCTAGGGTAAGGGGACAGCAGATCAGGGAGCTCCAAGCCTGTAATGTGCAGCCTGCCCCATGCACAGATCTGGGGGCCACGTGCCTCCCTACCCCCATGCGGTAATGTACACAGTATTGGGGAGCCAGCCCCTCCTCCCAATACCCTCCCACCCCCAACAAGCCACTTGAGGCTCTATCCTGCTCCCTGGTGGGGCCCTGCAGCTGCACATTCTGGCCCTTGGCCTCAAGCACCACACGCCGCCCCAGCTGGGCAGCAGCCCCAGCCCTACCCAACTCCCTCCCTCCCTATGGGGGCCTCAGTCCTCCCTGCCTCACACCAGACTTACCTGCAGGAGTTGCTCTGCAGGCTGCCTAGATGCCATGTGCATGGGTCGCGTGGAGATGGTAACCCCTCGCTGATCCCACTGGGGGAGGGGCAGGCTGAGCCTGAGCCTGTGGGCGCAGGCTCCATGCTGTGCTGCCATAGTTGGAGGCCTCTGAGCCCCAGTGTATGGAACTCATCACGGCAGAGCAGGGCCAGGTGGGAAAACTCATTGCCACCTCTGGGAGCTCTACGCTTCCATGGCAGTGCACCCCTTGTCTACCTGCTGCTGCCTGGTGGGCAGGGAATTATTTGTCATGGGGCTTGCAGTAGCAAGGAGCTTCCCCACCCTGCTTTGCCCTGCTGCATCAGGTCCCACCCCCTGGGCTATGGAGGCCCTAGGGTAAGGGGACAGCAGATCAGGGAGCTCCAAGCCTGTAATGTGCAGCCTGCCCCATGCACAGATCTGGGGGCCACGTGCCTCCCTACCCCCATGCGGTAATGTACACAGTATTGGGGAGCCAGCCCCTCCTCCCAATACCCTCCCACCCCCAACAAGCCACTTGAGGCTCTATCCTGCTCCCTGGTGGGGCCCTGCAGCTGCACATTCTGGCCCTTGGCCTCAAGCACCACACGCCGCCCCAGCTGGGCAGCAGCCCCAGCCCTACCCAACTCCCTCCCTCCCTATGGGGGCCTCAGTCCCCCCTCCCCCTGCCATACTTAGCTTCGGGAGCCACTCTCCAGGCTGCCTAGCGGCCATATGCTTGTGTGAGTGTGCACATGCACATGGTGCCCCCTGCCTGACCATCCTCTTCCTTCTCCCCACAACTCCTTGCAGGCTGGGACTCTGCCAGCCCGCAGAGAACTCTGCAAAAGTGGAAAATATGTGTTGTTCTGTTAAAATGAAAAATCCATGTTTTTCTTGGTTAAAAGAGAGAACCTGCGTTTTCCCATGGGAAATGGAAAACCCAGATCCCTTCATGTATTTGGCCATGGTCATGGTATTGGTACTTGTGCGCTTACTAAATGTGTAGCAATCCGCCAAACAAATTATTCCACCTTGTGAGTATCAAAAGTATCTTGCCAAGACTGTTGTAAAGCAGCATTATCCTGTTCTTTTGAATGTGGCATTCGTACATTCCCAGTGGACTATATTTAATCTGCAGGCATATTTACACAATTACAGGATTTGAGGGAAGTCCTAACAATTTATTTCTGAAAATGCAACAATAGTTGGTCCCAGCAAAATACCATTAAAAAAGTTAATGTGATTACCTAGAAATAGGCACTGCAGTTTGTCCAGTTTTCCCTTGTTTTGGGTTTTGAAATGATGCATAAGTACATAAACATTTGACATTTCCTCTCATACTTGAAACTTGTATTTATTAATTAATGAATAATTAATGCAAATTATTTATTTGCGTTAATCCTTGTAAATCTCATGAGTTCTACATTTTTTCCTCTTCCAGGATGTTTATATTAGTTAACTTTATATAAATATTGACAATACATATCAAAATATATTTTAATGTCAATCAATTTTTTTATTGCAGGGGAATTTGCCTAAATATTCACATAACTCTCTGATGGTTCAAGGTATAAAGACTAACCTAACAGACCCAGATATCCACATCCTCTTCTTTGATGTAGAAGCTCTGATTATTCAGCTACTGACAGAAGAAGCATCTAGGCCTAACACTGCATTTATTTCCCCAGAGAATTTACAGAAAGCATCTGGTAGTTCTGACAAGGGGGGCTCTTTTCGGGCTGGCAAACGAGCAGCAGTTCTCTTCCAGCAGGTCAAGGAAACAATCAAAGAGAACATAAAAGAACATCTTCTGGATGATGATGATGAGGATGAAGAAGCAATGAGGCAGAGAAGAGAAGAGAGTGACCCGGAATATCGCTCCAGCAAATCTAAACCATTAACCCTATTAGAATATAATCTTACCATGGACACAGCAAAACTATTTATGTCCTGTCTCCATGCCTGGGGTTTGAATGAAGTTCTCGATGACATTTGCCTTGATCGCCTTGGGATGCTTAAACCACACTGTTCTGTGTCCTTTGGTCTTCTATCTAGAGGAGGCCATATGTCTCTGATGCTTCCTAGCCATAACCAGTTGATGGGCAAGCCATCCTATGATGGTGTAGAATTAGCAAGGAAAATGTCTATTACAGAGGGACTGGGAAGGGGGACTTATGGAGTCTCACGTGCAGTCACCACCCAGCATCTCCTGTCTATTATCTCTCTGGCAAATACCTTGATGAGTATGACTAATGCAACTTTTATTGGAGATCATATGAAGAAAGCACCAACCAGGTATAGAAAGGATTCATTTTCTTTATGTATCTTGAACTAGCTTGTTTACTTTATGATATTCTTTTTATAAAACAGTCTTCACTTTGTTGAATTACTAATGGCTCTGGTATATTAAACAGCTCTTTTAATGGCAGGTGACTGCATGCATCAGGTGTAATCATTCTGTTATGTTGGGGTTTTTTTTTAATGCTAGTATAACTATTACATTCAGCAGAATTATGTCTATAGAACTGTTGTAGGAAACTGAGAACCGGGTTAGCTTTTTTATATCAGTTTCTTTCTTTGTAATTTTTAAAGTCATGAATACATTCTAAATAAATTATAATGTAATAATATTTTGGTTATACCTAATAATAAATTAAGATAATTCTGGAATTGTAAATAACACCTAATTTTAACATCTTTGAAACTTTCTTGATAAGACTTTCTTTTTAAAGCTGGTTGGTCAGGAGAAATATGTATGTAGCATATGTAACTTTTTTTCTGCCCCGGTTTTTATGTTTAGGCCTCCAAGGCCAGGCACTCCAGAGCTGTCTAAAGTGAAGGCTCCTCCACCCCCGGTTTCAAGTCCTGCAGCTCAAGGGCAAATTAAACAAGGTAAAATTTCAAGACGGTGAGATAAAAGGTAGTTATCATTTTATAGTAAGTAGATCGTTTCACAGTCTAGAGCTGAAGTGGCATGCCAATTATGTGATTTCTAGGTACAAAAAGAAAATGGTTTTATATTTCAGATGAAAATGTGAATGATTTAAAATGATACATGTCTTTTCAATCTATATAAGGTGTTGATATTGCTATAAAGTGATCCCAAAGCATTGATGGGGTCTACTTATTGCAAGAAATCCCAAATATCAGCTTGGTTGTTTGCCAGGAGTTGGAGTCCAGCGCTTAAGCAGTATACACCTTGACCTTTAATTTAAAAATCAACATTATAAATGCACATTTAAACTTCAGTTTCCTTTATAGGAGTAGAATATCATTTACCACTATTAAATTGTAAAACATTCTTGTCACTTGCTGTTTGGATGGCAAACGTGCTGGTTGATACCTGGTACACTGCTGTCCCATTTGGCCATCATCTCCTCTGCTTCTTCCAGCTGCTCCACGTGCTCTGTGGCCATAGTCAGACCCACAACTCCAATCCCTTTTTCACCAGGTGTACTAGTTGCACTTTGGTCTGTGTTTAGTTTTTACTGTTCCTTGATATCTAAAGCTATAACTTGGTTGTCTAGATAGCGAATAGCTGCAGGCAGAGTTCTGACTTTCACAGGTGGTGAAGCATCTTATACAAACACAGTAATTCAATACTACTTATTTTGCTTTAATACAGACTGTATTTTTATATATTGAATTGGGATTAAAGATTCAATGACCACTTAGGTGCAAAACAAAGGAGGAATTAAAAGGGGGTGGGGGTGGGGCAGGGGTGGGGAGCAGGGGATTGAGATTGGACAATAGGATTTCAGCTGTAATGTTGAGTGAAGTAGAAAATAGATGCTGTTCCACTTCTGCAGACTGGAGAAAAAAAAGATTCCTGTGGATAGTGAGAGACTGAGAAGAGAAGGGGAAGCAATTAGTAACAGTCGATCCATGATAGGCTAGAAGAAACCAATCAAAATGTAAAGCAAACTAAATGTAAAGAAATCATGAAGTGGCCAATACTGAACTGAACATGAAATGGGAAAACCAGTGGACTTGTATGAAGTAGAGGATGATGTGATTATGCTATTTATGGCTGTAAATTCAGGCAGCCCTCACAGAAGCCAAGAGAATATAGACTTGCCACTGTTAGGAAGTTATGATTATCTCTTAGGGGGATATTTTATATATGATTATCTCTTAGGGGGAAAGTTTGTTACCATAGTAACTATGTGCTTAAGATTCAAACTGCAGTCCAGGTGAGAATGGTTGAAGACATGGATAAATATTTCTTATAGAAGTGGAGTTTATGATAAGTTCTACTTAAGTTCGAAGCCAGTTGATTAAACTCTTGGCCTTGTTTATTTCAATGGCAAATCTTCCTTTCAGTTCAATGGTCAAGATTTCACTATATAATATAACAAAGGAGCAAGGTATATAAGTAAGTCACTATTGTTTCGTAAAAAAAATGTATGTTGTCCTTTATAAACAGGAGCCCAACAGTATGCAAGGTTTTTTGGGTTTCTTTGGTTATTTGCTTTTGTGCTGGAAAGCCTTTTTTTTTTTTTTTTTTTTTTTTTTTTCCTTTGGTGCTTGTGAATGATGACAATCAGAAAAGGACTGCTCTGCTAGCTAAGCTTGCTTACAGGTAACTGAAGCTTCACCATTCTGTTAGGTCTTGTTTTTTTTTTAATTTACTCAGGATTTCAGTTTAAATAAAGGGAAAAACTAGCACTGAATTTATTTTTTGTATCTTTGAAGGGGAAGCTAGGTAGGCAGCAATGGGTGTGGATCTGAAATATGTGAATAAAGTGTTTTACAGGACCAGAGCCACAACTAGGTTAAGATGAAAGTTTCATAGGGAACTTATACTGAGTTGTAAACATAAGATAATACAAAAGACCTAGAATAGCAGCACATCAGTTAAGGTTATTGGATCAAGAGTTATTTCCACATATACCCATTTACTTCTTTCATAAAGATGCTTTTAAAATTTGAAGAGGTCAGTAAAGAGCTTGTAAAGGAACAGACCTGTTGGCAAAAATGGTTCCAGAAAAAAGTTTTGCGTGTAAGATCTCTGTCCATAATATTTATTTAAAAAAAAATGCTGTTTCCACCAATGTTATCCTTTTCAGAATGAAAATCCTTTCATTTGTTTTGTTAAGACTGGCATCTCGAATTACGATAAATGGTGCTTCTACAGTCTTCAGCAGG